CTGCTGCTCGAGTAATAATTCAAGTTTAGATGGATCCATATTTCCGTAATCACCGTCGCCAAATTGTTAGGTTTGAAGCTTCACGGGTTCACTTAGACTGCGAACGAGAACAATACTCAATGACCAAAGACCAGTAATCTAACTATTGACGCGTCCCAGCCCCGCTAACTAGAAGGAAAAGTCCAGGCTTGGTATGGAAAATATATTCTGCATACAACCAGAAAACGAGCGAGCAAGCAAGCAAGCAGCAGCAGCGAACACTCAGACACAAATTAAACGTATATATATATATAAATATATAAAATCGATATTGTCATATTAAAATGTTATTTTTAAACATGACTCATTCAGTTCATCACTCGACAGGCATTCGAATATTTAGTCGATAAGTTCATCATGTGACTTCCATCCAAATATTTAATCGATGAGTCAATCGATATGATAAAATTACAAATATGAATTTTGGGAATATACCGTCCCAACACTTATCAGTATCTCGTAGGAAGGCTGTACTGAACCTTTGTAATGCTGTTTGTCCAGTTGTCCAATGCTTCTTTGACTTCATTTTCATCTTGGCAACCACCAGGTGGTGATCTGAAGCTATGTCAGCTCCTCTCCTGGTTCTCACGTCTTCTGTTGACCTTCTGAATCTTTGACTGATACAAATATGATCTATCTGGTTCTCCATAGTGTGATCAGGTGAGACCCAAGTAGCTTTGTGTATGTGTTTGTGTGGGAATATTGTGCTGCCCATAACCATTTTGTTGAATGCATATAAATTTCCCAATCTCCCACCGTTTTCTTTTCTTTCTCTCAATCCATGTCGTCCCATGATATTTTCATACCCGGTATTGTCCGTTCCAACTTTTCGTTTAGGTTCCCTATCAGGATGGTCAGGTCCTTTCCTGACTACTTCGCTATGATCGATTCCAACCTCTCGTAAAACTTATCTTTATCCTTGTTGTTGCTCTCATTTTTGGGTGAATAACATTGGATAACATCCATTATGATTTCTTCCTTCTTTGCTTTGAAGGATGCTTTGATGATTCTAGATTCATGAGATTTTCATCTTATACGTGCTTTTATGGAAGGAATCAGAGCAACTCCCTGAGTGTGTGGAGTATTTTCCTCTTTATGACCGGAGTACAGCAGTATCTCTCCTGAATCTATCCTTTTACATCCGCTTAGGTCCAATGTGTTTCACTTATTTCGAGAATCACCATGTCGTATCTTTTAATTTCCGTAGCTGTTTGACTAGTCCTCCTAGGCTCTCACATTGTCGGAACATTCCATGTACCTACATAAATTGTTACTCTGATTGTGATAAGAAGTATCTGGCTCATGGATTTCGTGAAATATCGGCTTTCGTCACGAGGCGTTATAATTCTTCAGAATGAAGATCCTTCAATTCAAAGGTCAGAGTTTCAATGGTTTAATTTGTTTATTATAGTTTGGACTTTTTTAAGCAAGGTTGCTTTCTACGGAATGTGGTTGATGACCCCATGCCCAATTCCCTTCCTTTGTATGGGCTTGGGACCGGCAGTAGCCCTAGAAGAGCTACAGGTGGAGTTTATATATATAAACCATGTATGTGTGAAATATATGATTCACATAATGGAGGCTGATGTTTGTGTTCTGAACTGAACATAATGAATTAGGCGAGAAGCTACTATACGTAGGACTAATTAGGATTAAGAGTTGACTCAAGGTTGGTAGTGTTGTTTGACGTGTCATTAGATTAGTGCAAGGACGAGGTCACAGTAGATGATATTCTGAATGGCAGTGTTGTCACGTAATAGTTGACGGGAGCATAGGTTATAAAACTTACTAACTCATACTTTGAAGGCACCTTCAATTTAGCATTCGATGGTGTGGTAATTGGTGAATAGTTCAGTCACTGCACTATCAAACAGAACACTTAATGACAAACCTATCTTACACAAGTCACATCATTTATATCCTTGTAACTTTTATAGTAAAGATATTTGTGACCCAATGAATAAAATGTCTGAAAGTAATCGAATTGAGGCTACTACGATTGTCCCTTATATTCTGAATCGTTATTAATACTTAAATTTCGGTCAAGGAAAATGTTACGAATTCCTGCTTGGTTTAATAAGATACTAAGATAAACTGAGATTATCAAACTGATGATTTGCTTACCGAACTGATCAACATTCACATAATTTTCCTATTGTTGACTGTCTGTTACATTTTACTATTTTTTTGGATATTAGTTACTATTATTTATTGACCAACTATTTTTGATATGATAACCATGAATCGTTGGTGGATAAGCTTATGACCTGCCCTTCCTGACTAACTACCAAACCAATTATGCTGACGTACAAAACGAATGATGGTCACGAAGCTGTGTTCCGAGAAAGCTGGATTAAATACTTATCGCTCATGTACATTTGTTGATAAAATGAACTTATCATTGAAAAAATAGCCGTCAAAAAATCTTTTAAAAATAATAAAATTTGATTACATGTTACAAACGATCAATTTCATGTCTTTCACACTCCAACTGAATAAGTCACTGCTCGTCATATCAACACCTTCACGAAATTATGTGAGATTCTTCTTTGGTGACATTGGTAGAATTGTGACACCACTAACTTATTTAGTATACGTTTCTGTCTTGATGAAAATTATTTTTATTTTTCGTTTACAGACTGCAGCTTCACCATTGACGTTATGTTTCAGGTAATTCCTTATCATTCTTTGATTATTAGTAAAGCATAAATTTTTAACATAGCTTCCTCCTTCCTCCTCAGGCCGAAAATTTGTCTCATGAACCGACTTGTAACAACTTTAGCAGCTATGTGCTTTTGGAACATCCGAATATTGTGAAGCTGATAATGAAGATTCTAAATCTGAAGTCGAAGAAATTTCTTGGACCTTTGACCGAAACTTTATGGGGGAAATCTGAATTGTTATTGGCTATAAGACTACCCACAGATTGTTGCATCACTCCCTACTTTCAGACCATTGTTTGATGAACTAAGATTTGAATCTATAGTGCCTTGTTTCGATTTGACGTATTTTCCTGATATTTATTGAAAATTTGATCAGAAATAAATGAATTAATAGAACAATCGACCTCTTTTAAAATAATATCGGAACTGTGTTCAGGAACCTATTCATTTGAAACACTTGTCTCACAGTCATTCTTTTGATCATTAGAATAAGTGACCACTGTTGTATATGACGTTGTTACGTTACTTACGCTTAGGTGATTATTACATAAGCATAAATCAAGCTTTTCAAAATTGGCATGATAAAGGCTTATCTAGTAAAAAAAATTAATCTTTAGTATGAAAAATTCTTACCAGGCGATTTTCACTCCACGATTAATTCTAACTATTTTGATGCACGTAAATGTTTAAAATACCACTTTCTGCATAAATAAATCTTTAAATATTTAGATTTTCCAGTTGTTAAATTCAGTTAACTTAGGTTTCACAGATTACTGATTTCCTCCATAACAGAAACTGAACTCTTCAATTTCACTATACGTTAAATGGACGGGTAAGTAGAAGTCAGTAAACTGATTCTCCGTCTCTCTCTCTCTCTCTCTCTCTCTCTCTATATATATATATATATATATATATATATATATATATATATATATATATGGCGGTAAATAAATCCTCAAAATAAATACTGTAAGTCTTCAATATTGATACTGACCTTATTAGTGGTACTGGACACACCCTAGCTAAAGAAGCTCAGTCACGCTGATCACGAATGGGTATATCGTGCTACCCATCCCTTGCAACTCCTAGCCAGCTTAGACCAAATGCTTGTCGACACATCGATAGTCTTCCAAATATATCTCAAAACCTCTTCATTTCTGACATTTGATTTGATTGGGTTGGTATACTTCGATTAAAAAGGTGTTACATGTAAAGGCGTTGTGAAACTCCGAATACCTATGGAATCTTTATATATATATATATATATATATATATATATATATATATATATATATATATATATATATATATATATATATACAATTTATAGACTCCTATATTACGGTTCGTTTTGATTGTGTTGACATTTGATTGGAAGTTTTCGTAGAATAAATTTATTATAATTTAATGATTTCCACATCGGAATAAACCACCTTCCTTTTAAAAATTTATTGCCGCCATTATCAACAGTATTTAATTGAAAATGTCACTGACATAGTTATGTATAGACACAACTTCTTGAACATATTTCAATTACTGATCTATTTGAATACGAATAATACTTAATGTGCTTAACTCATTTCGCTGTAATTTAGTGGTTTCAAAGAATTTCTTTATACTTCAGTCATGTGATCATATGATTTCTCATAATGGTTATTTCCATATCACTTGTTTCGTTAATTCATATATTTTCTTAAAAAATACTTCGTTTAAAAGTAAAAATTCTATTACAAATTCATAATGTACAATTATTTACAATCTTAAATTTATTACTTTTGTACTATTGCACATACAGTTTCCGTTGTGCTTATTCAATTTCTTGATATTTCAACCACCAGAATAAAAGTAACCTCATTTATTAAACAGCTTACACGAGGTAACAAGCATATAATCAATCAAACAAGCCAAATACTTAGGGGCAGAAAGATTTAAATATTGGCACACATAGTATTCCGGTATACTGTTGTTCAGTTATTATAGTTCTTTTCTGACAAATGTTAGTCATTGGAAAACATGAATTAAAAAATAGCTAATAAATCAAACTCTTCTGAATCTGGAATATGAATCCATTAAAACTTTAATTAAAAATACAAAATCGGTTACATTAGAATACTGTGCTATGAATCTATTTACTTTAATCAAAATAAAACTATGAGAAATTACTTGAAATAAAAAATGTGAAGAAAATAAAAGATGAAAAGGTTACAAAAATAATCAATAAATAATCTCCTCCTCCTCCTCCTCCTCCTCCTTATTCACGAAACACAAAGTTATATCTAAAATTGTTATATAATTAATTTACATTGAATTGTCAACAGCATGAATGACTGTGTTATTTTTATCATTATTATTATCATTATTATTAATAAAACGTTTGAAACGTCTATAAAATAAAAATGTAATATTCAAATAACATTGAAGTAATAATTCAGTTAAGGGTTTAAAATAAATAGCATAGATAATAAAATTCGTAATTTCCCGTACTGAATTTAATGACCACATTAAATGGGCTATGTCATAGGCTATCCCCCTATGAATTGCCGTGATACCGGTTATTGGTATTCTGGCCAATAAATAACATATAGCTTGTGGTAATGAGATAGCAATGTAAAATGAGGATAGAATTAGATTTAATAAACAGATTCGAATCTCTCTACGACTCATTGTTCTTGTATTATTTGTGCATTGCTGAAGAAATCGATTTCTCAAATACTTTCGAGTACATAATAGGAATGTTAAATTTAAAAATAACAAAATGATAGTTTGTATTGGTCCAAAATTTGAAAATAATGTATGATAAACATGTAGAATTTCATTTGCTGGTGTAATCCAGCAAAAGCGTTCATCTTTTATACGATGCCACGTGACGAGTATTCCAAATGGTAACATCATTAAGAAACTGACGACATATATTATACCACAAGCCCACCAAGCATGATGTGGCTGTACTTTTGAGAACTTTATAGGTGCTTTAATTGCTAAACATCGATCCACTGCGGATATAACAAGAAGATTAACAATCGATGTTGAAGTAAATGAATGCAAAAATCTATAGAATCGACATGAAGCCGAAGATAAAAAAATCAGTGAAAAGTATATTCTACCTTTTGTTGCATACGGTAATCCTCTACTTGGAAATAGCCATAACCAGCCGACGAAGAAATCAGTTAATATACTCGATACTGAAACACATAACATGTATATCATATGCCTTGGCATACTTGATCTTTTCCTGAAAAATACATAGATGAACACTGAATCGGTTGTTAGGGCTATGATAGAGAATATAGGAAATATAAAGGCTGAAAATACTCCAAGTGTCGTCCCTGTGATACATTTTGTCAAATATAATAGGCTCCATTCTTTTTTTAGTAAAGCACAAAATCCAAAAGTGACGTTTCTTAGATCGCTGACTATGGAAATATTTTTGATGGTAGACATTGAAAATTAAGTTGACTACTGAACGTTTTGAGTTATATATATATATATATATATATATATATATATATATATATATATATATATATATATATATATATATATATATATATATATATATATATACGCATATATAGCATGTGCTATTATTTTCATGAACAAGTACTTTTCTGAGTTTAATTTGCGAATGGTTTGAATAATAATTGAATGTTTATATTCAAGTAAATTGTTTACAAATTAAAACAGTAAATAAACGTTTTTATAGTAATGATGAAAATACATATGGAGCCATAGAACTAAAAAAAGTATTTATTTGAGGTAACCTATGTTTCAGTAAATTTGGATAATGGTTAAAAATGGAATCCAAGACACCTAGGTCCTAGGTTCGAAACTCGTGAGGGGCGAGATCGTGGATGCACAGTTCTGAGGAGTCCCACCGTAAAATGCGATCGATAAACAAACTCACCAATAATAAAGTGAAACACCCACCACCACACTAACTTTCCTTGGCCTTGTACGAATGTGTCTTGTTTATTCACCAATCACAATTTGATATTCATTATAGAACAATATTTGCTTTGTTGACTCATTTTTCTTATCCTCTAGCTACTGTTCGGTATGTTATTGATGTCTCTGTTATTCACTGTGTTAATACACTGTACTGTTTGTTTTGTACACTAACGGTGTTAATTTATATTTTAGAAACAGATAAATTTTATCAAGCCAAATAGCTTACTTGTTCTGACTTTGGCTGAATCAAGACTTTGTGTTCGACAGTCTAGGGAATAGCTTAGAGTTGAACCTGTAGAAAATTGCTTCCTACACCCACAATGGGATGAAACGGCCATCCAATGCTTCCAGGTTTTCCATAGTGATCTAGCTTCAAATGACTCATGATCTCAACCACTGAAATTACTATAATATCCACAAAACCCCTTCTGATATAATTTGTGTGTGTAACTACTTATTTTAACAGGGCTTTACAGGTTAGATGCATTTTATTTTGAACAGCTAAACCTAAAAAGATAAAAACCAGGTTTATTTTTAATGTTTCGTAGTTAAAACTATTTAAATTTCAGTGGACATACTTTTGTTTATTACATTTTCATTATTATTATTATTATTATTATTATTATTATTATTATTATTATTATTATTATTATTATTATTATTATTATTATCGTCATCAGACCATTAATTACACTTTAATGTTTATTTATTCAGTCACGAAATCGTTCAGCAAGATCACTGAACCTCATTTTAATTATTCTAGTTTGTTAAAATGCGTTTCTTTTTTCCTTTACAAATTAAAATCATGATAAGAAAGAATTTAACAAATAATCATAACAATTACTTATTCAAGTTTTGTTATGCTTAATTTGGGATAAATGAATAGTTTAACTAATAGAGCACATTGTTCATGTTGTTAGTGTTGTGTCTGTTATTCACTTTATTACATTATACATTAAGATCATTTAAACACGCTTGTTTATCTGCATAGTTTTTTTGTTGGTTCATTTGTTTTCACTCTTTTTTTTAAAAAAAATGAGTATGGTAATTAAGTAGTATAAGCTTCATTGGATTATTTTGAAAATCCGAGGAAAATAAACATGATAAAGCTTTTGTTTTAATTTTTCATCTGTCTGTTACTTGTTATCTACACACCCTAATTTGATATTTTTAGAAGGAAAACAAAAAAAACAAAGTACATATCTTTAAATGATGTTAACAAAGTTGATGATTTATGATTTGAAAAACGAGCTGTTACAACTATGAATTATTCATAGGTTTATAAATTAACCCTTTATTGTATTTATACATGCAGTTTGACTGAAAGAATTAAAATATTAAGATGGGAAACTATAAAATATTCAATAATGATTGATATGTATAAAGCATGAAGATGACAAATGTTCAAGTTTACTAATCTGTCGTATGTCATAAGTATATACGAACGAAAAGGTATGGTTCTGTTTAACAAGTAAACCTAACCAATTGAATTATGAATCAATTAAAATTTACTAACATGTAGGTTATAAAGTCATGTGACAGTTTATATTGGTTGATCACGGATTGATGACCTACCAATGTAAATATCTCAACCCCAGAAGGAGTTCAACTGTTATGTGAATTACTCAATAAAGCTGGCTGACGTGGATTCGAATCCACTAGAGGTTATCAGTTCTCTCAAGACTGCATGTACTGAAAACTGGCAAGATCAACTAGCACGAAATCTAAGTTTATGGTATCCTGCAGACTACCCTCAACCACCTAATATCACATGATAATTTATTGCTCACCTATCTTACCACAAATGAGTGAGTTGGATATGTAAGTTATTACTCCTTAATATTGAATATATTTGAAATACATTTCTTAATCTAAAACAAGTGAACTTCTGGATTGAATCTTGATGCAGTACAATCATTTTCTTAAAAATGATTTTCAACACCACGTTTTCATTCGATATATTTATTCAACTGCAAACCGTACTTAATAAACTGGATAATTAAAAACATATCCTGCTAATGTTTCAAATAAATTTTAATTTAATACAGACTGGAGCAGAATTAGGAAAGCTCCTCAGAATTTACCAATTCATCCATTATCTGCATTTCATATATACGCATTCCCCATATAGTCTACCGAAGATTATCAAGATTACTACTTGCTGATAAGATAAAATACACTCATCTTAGCCGCTGCAAATTAAAGGGACACACAATATATGTCTCCAAAGTTGCAAACCAATGGAATCGTAAAACTATACATGAGTGATAGTGGGGCTCAGTTTTACAGCTGTGTGAACTTATTACAGGTATTCGCATTAGTTCTTGTAAATCCGACAGTTATTCGGGAGTTGGTTTGTCTTAAATATAAGTTAATGCGTTTGTTCAAGGACCATAAGACTACTGGAATCGGGGAATCATTTGGTTGGTTACGGTATAAAGTTTATAAAACTAAGATTTAGGATATTGATGAAAGGCCGATAGTTCAAGACAAATCAAATTAATTAAACGAACACAATAAATAAATAAATAAATAAATACCTAACAACAGTAAACTAACGGAAATGATAAGCGATAAAAATAAAGTTGGATAGTGTGTTGTTTGTGTAAAATCGTAACTGCTTCGAAAAATAATTATGCGTTTCATTCTGAATATAATACAACAACCTAACGCGCGTACATGGCTCACTGCTTTATTTGTACACCCGTTGATTCTAAACCACTGCAGTACATTTTGGACAGGCCTAAGATTTTCTAGTGCATACACTGCATTCAGTACCATTGCTTAAGTTAACAATAGTAATATATTAATCAACAGATATTTTCCAAGTAAGAATAAAGAATGCATAAACATTTTTCTTTGTTAGTGAGAATTACAACTTCGCCTACACTAAACAATCGAGTGATGACAGCTCAAAGTTGATAGTGCTATGATAACTCATATACTTCCCTGAATATGAAATGTGCTTTCAAAATTTTTCATTAGTTGATTGCTCATAGAACAGATTGACCTCTGATGTTTTACTAATAAGCATAGTTAGTTTTTGACTACATATATGTGTGTGGTTTATATCTCTATGTAGTTTTAGAAAGAATAATTCTAGTTCACGGCAATAAAGCGAATCTTCTTTGTCAAATTACTATGCAAAGTTAAATATTCCATACAATTCTTCTGCTTTATAAATTTTCACTGCACTAATTGTAGAAGAATAATGTGAATTCAATTAATGTCACTTCCACTACCCACACCCTGAAATTCATGAAGACTAGAATTTTCTAGGAATGGGAAACTAAGGTTACTGACTACGTGACATCATTTACAAAACTTGTTGTCAATGTTACGATCAATAGAGCGTAAATAAGAAGAATAAGAGGTTACTCAACAAATTGCTTGGAAGTGAGGTCTTTTTAGATGCATAACTTAGTTTAAAATCTTTTGCTGACCTCATAACTTCGAGATAATTCGTTTTTTGGTCATTTCAAAATATTGAAAAAATCCACTGTCATGTCCATTTCCAAGTAAATAACGGGGAACTGTATTGTTCAAGATATATAGTCATTTTACTCTCAATGTTTGTGGGATGTGTCTAAAGATGTAAACTATAACACTTCCTTCTGTTTTATAAATTCACGTGCTCTTGTATTTGGCATTTCAACTCGTAGGAACATTTGGAATCAAAGAAACAAAGGTATTCTTTTTTAATTGTGTTAACGAACAGCGAGTGGATATAATTTCTGAAGCAGAGGATTGATGTTTCGGATACATAAAAGAGCAAGAAACACATAACTCTTCCTAATCCATCATTGTGTGAATTTCGGAATATCTGTCACGTTCTTTTTTGTATTTGGTTTGTATATCTTCACTCCTGAAAAATTCCACTTCATTCTTACCCTTGGGTCTGTGTACCGGTTCCTAAACCCCGTATAACCACAATTCTGAAAGTTTGGAATGATTTATATTTTCAGAGAATGTCTTAAGGAACACGTTTTGTGAGGTTCAGCCTCAATTAGGGTTTATGGTTGTCAGCTTGCTGAGTTGTACCCTCTCCACCGAAATTCTAGATATTTGGATTTAACACGGAAACGAGATTTTTTGTCAGAAATAATTGAGTCTTATCCATTGAGAATATAGTAACAAAAAAACTTAGTAATCTGGTAACTTTGATAAATACCACAAGTTCTTCAATTTTTGTGACATTTAAAGTTAAACAAGCTGTTATTGTCATTCGGAAGGTATAAAAGCATCTCCATGCCAACGATGTTTGTACATTGCAACACTTAAGAACCCAATTGTATGACTGCAGACCCATCAGACTCAACAATCAGAGAAGTCTTACAACAGTGGGCACATGAAACTTGTCAATCCTTGAAATTTTCCTGGTTACGGTCATAAGACATTGGATAGAAGTGTATTGATACACATTCTCTCCCTGAGATTCGTGCTAGTCAAACTACATTTCATAGTTTACTTCAGACATATAGAATATTTATTAT